GGAAAGAGGAAGAAAAAGAGAGAAAGAAAGAGAAGGAGGAAAAGAAACAAAGAGCGAAGAAGGACGAAAAGAGAGAAAAAGAAAGAGAGAAGGAAAGGAGGAAAAGAAAGAGGGCAAAGAGATGGGGGAGGGAGGGAGGCTCTCCCATCCTGCCATCAAGCTCCCCACCCTCCGCAGATACCTCACTCACCTGGGTCCAGGAAGGCTGGCAGGGATGCTCTTCGGGCCTCCCATGGGCCGCAACACCTCAGCGCAGGCTCGGGGAGGTGGCAGGGTCTTTGGGCCTCCCATGGGCTGCAGCACCTTGGTGCGGGCCCGGGGAGGTCAGTGGGTGGGGTCTTCATGCCTCCCGTCGGCTGCAGCGCCACAGCGCAGGCTCAGGGAGGTTGGCAGGTGGGGTCTTCGTACCTCCTGCAGGCTGCAGTGCCTTGGTGCAGGTGTGGGGAGGTTGGCGGGCGGGGTCTTCATGCCTCCTGCAGGCTGCAGCAACTTGGTGCGGGTTTGGGGAGGTCAGCAAGTGGGATCGGTGTGGGCCCGGGGAAGCAGGTGGGCATGCTCTTTGGGCCTCCTGCGGGTCACAGTGCCTCAGCGCAGGCTTGGGGAGGCTGGCGGGTGGGGTCTTCAGGCCTCCCATGGGCCACAGCACCTTGGCACTGGCCCAGGGAGGTCGGTGGGCATGCTCTTCAGGCCTCCCACGGGCAGCAACACCTCAGTGTGGGCCCGGGGAGGTTGGCAGGTGGGCTCTTTGGGCCTGGCCCAGTAAGCCCGGGCGTGGGGCTTGCTTCATGTGCCCACCCCCTGGGCTCGGAAGGCAGCCGGAATGCCGTTCTGGTGCGTTCCAGCCCAAAAAACAGCCCTGGTCAGCTGGATAACACACTCAGGACAGCTTGACCTGCGTGTGTGGAAACACAGTAGATATGGAAATTGTCACCCTGCTTTGACTTACTCCATGCCAAAATATGTACCCTGTATATATAAATCAACCAAAGGATTTTCCTCCTCCATCATCTTCTATTTGCTGTTATCTTTTAAATTACACAACCTTTTTATCATTCATCATGGTGAATATAATCTTGGCTCCCTACAAATCGTAGTTTGTGAAGTAGCTTATGGGGTTTTCATTAACCTAGATTTACATTGTTTCACAAGTAACATGAAGCCATGGTTAACAGTGAGAACAGAAAGGTGAGTGAAATTATTTAGGAAGCTGGAGGAAGAATAGGTGATATGTAAATCTTGGTCTATAGACAGTAGCATTTAAGACACTGTTAGCACAGATAAGTTTTTGTGGTGTGCCATGTTTTCGTTCCCTCTGACTTGAAACATACATTATAGCAGTGTTGAGTTATTCTGGAAATGTTACACAAACCCATCACACTAAACCAATGCAATTTGCATTTGTAAAGGCTCTTAAAGAACTTGCCAAAGTAAGTGAGGACTTGTGCAGCTACCAAGAGGAAATCCGCAAGAAGTCCAACCACAGAAGGTAAAATTGTTGATTTTTTTTATTAATGCAAGCATACTGAGGAAAGTGAATGAGAGTTAGAGAACTTAGCAACATTATTTAGTCCTCAGATGATTTTTAAAAGTTACAACATAGAACCATACATACGCTTAACTGAAATTTCATAGGGCTAAAAAATTGAAGCTGTGCAGGCAACTACATATGAACAGGAATGC